GTATTAGGTAGAGCTGCTATGTCTCCTGGAATTTGTAGAATGGCTTTGTGTAGTAGGTGTCCTGTAGAGTCCAGTGGCTCAGCCTCCCCAGTCACCTGAGCTGGGCCTTCTAGGTTCTCCCCTGTGTGGGCTGTGTGCACTGTCCTGTTGTAGTTGAGCCTTGGTTGCTGTTGGTGTCACTGGGAGGAATTGACCCCCAGGCCAATCAGCTGTGAGGACCAGCTGCAACTACAGCCAAAGGGCTGCTGTGCTGGAGACACCCCTATGGAGCAGGATTTACTTCAGTGGGGCTTTGGTGGTCACCAGGTGTGGCCCTCAAGTATCACTCATGGGTGTGGTAGGGTTGTAATTCAGCATGGTCCAGTCTGACCACCAGCTGCACTGTGTCTGGGGCCTCCTGGGAGGTGCAGAGTCAGCCTGTGCCAGTGCCTTGCCCAGGGCCACCCAGCATGAGCTACACAGCAAACCGTAGTTGGCTGTTACTTGTGCTGGACTTGGCCATGTCCAGGAGAGGCCCAGCTATGAGCCAGTGCAGCTGCCGCTAGTGCCAGGCCTGGGGCCGCTTATCAAGCCCTATGGGTCCCACTGCTGCTTGTTTGAGAGATTTTAGGAAAGTCCTAAGCATGAGGCCTGAGAGGCCACTTGCATAGAAAAGCCCCTGGAAATGGCCGGGATGAGCTGCAGGTGAGGAGGGGCGGGGCCTCTGGGAATCACGGGGCGGGGCCAAAGATGTGAGTCAGGTGCTGGCGGTTCAAACATGGCGCCTGCCTGCCGGCTGTGTGCGGGGAGGACTCACCATGGCCTCTGCCAGCCCTTCTGCCTGGGAGGAAGCCGCCCCTCTGCCTCTCGCCCCGACTTCTGGCAGGTTAGTTCCTCCCCGAGTGTCCCGGGTCCTTTCAGGCTGCTGCCCGGTGCTGGGCTCAGAGGGAGCGTCTGAGTGAGTCCGTGCCGGGCCCTTTAGAGGAGCTGCTGGGGCTCCCGCAGCCTCCGCGACCCTCAGGGACAGTCCCCGCTGGTTTCACAGCCCNCGTCTGAGTGAGTCCGTGCCGGGCCCTTTAGAGGAGCTGCTGGGGCTCCCGCAGCCCCCGCGACCCTCAGATAGTCCCTGCTGGTTTCACAGCCTGAGGTATGGGGACATCTCTTCCCGGCCCCGGAGCCCTGGGCTGGGGACCTGCTGTGGGGCTGGGACCCCTCACTCCTCTGGGAAACCTCAGCCTCCGAGATTCCTTCCCAGGTTTATCCGGAGGCACAGGGTGTGGGCCCGCGGCCCGTCTCCGGGATTCAGCCCCTGTCTGCTCGCGTCTCCTCCCCTCCTGCTGGTCTCGGTGCTGCTTCAGTTCCCTGGTTGTGGGGCTTCTGTTTAGCCAGATCTCAGGAGGCTCTGAGTGACGGTGGTTCTGTATTTTAGTTGTGATTTTGATGTGGTTGCGGGNGGTGGTTCTGTATTTTAGTTGTGATTTTGACATGGTTGCGGGAGGCGGCGGGTGCAGCTGTTCCCCACGCCTCCATCTTGAATCAGTACTTTTTTAACATCACAGTGATAATATGAAATCTGAGTACTTCCCATGAGAAATTTGGAATCTTAGATAGCTCTGATCATTGTTTTATAAAATTATCTAGTGAATTGATACCAAGGATGAGGAGCCCTGGTGATAAGCTTCCGTGAGGACCTGGGACCCTGTCCCCTTCACAGCACTCGCGTACTGTCTCGTGGACCTCATGCTGCACACCACACGTGGCAGGATGTGTGAGTGTGTGTGTTTTGAGGAGGTTGGGGGTGGGGAAGGTGGTGCACTATGAAAGCACTTTGTTAGTTACTAAGAGGGTTCCAAAGGCGCACCTGCTCTCCTCACCCATAGGCCCTGGGTCTGCATGAAGCGCGGGGGGAAGAACAGACTCAGTCTGCGGGAGGAACAGGAGCCAGCAAGGACAGTTCATGACCATGAACCTAGGGGACACCTTGGGGAAATGGGATACAGGAGGTCTAGTTTGGCTGGAGCATATCAAGTGTAAAAACAAATAGGGAGAGGTTGGGGAGGGAGAGCAGGGCTAAGCCAGGGTAAGGAGTTTGGACGTCATTCTGTGGGCAGTTAGGAGCCATTGGTGGTTTTTGAATGGTTTAATGATGTGATCATCACTTGGGCACATATTTCTTATTAAACTTTGATATCTCTGTTTCCCAAGCCCCTCATATCCATTCTGTACACAGCCCTGTCGGTGCTACTTACAGAATAAATCCTGGGCTTACCCTCTACTGACAGCCTCCACTGCCACTAGGCTCACCCAAGTCCCTGTCATCTCTCAACGGGGCTGCCATGGCAGCTTCTTTGGTGGCTTGCTGCTTTTACTCTTGTCCTGCTAACCAACCCAGTGCAGGTAAAAACTATCAGTGTCCTGGTTAAAGCCCTGCATCATCTTTTCATCAAACTTGGAGTAAAATCCGAACTCCTTGCCCAACCCACAGAGCCTTGTGTAACCCTTTATGACCTTGCTCTGCCCCCTTTCTGAGTTCATGTGTACTCTTGGTTCCCGCTCTCTCACTGGGCTCTCACCACTCTAGCCTCCTTTGTTTTCTGAACACCCAAGCTCCTTTCCACCTCAGAGTCTGTGCATTTGCTTGGTTGATCTGCCTAGAATGTTTTCCCCCCAAATATTCACATGATTATTGGCTTCTTACCAAAAGATGCCTCCCCTGCCCCTTGATGTAAAGTAGTCCCTGCCCCAGCCACCCCCCCCCCCATTGTTT